ATCCTGTTCGCTCCCTCCTCTCAGCGGGTTCCAGCTTGCTTCACATCCCCCGTATTGCTCGCCTCACTATTGGTAGGCAGGCCTTCCACCACTCTGCCCCCACAGCCCCTCCGTCTTGCCCCCTCCCTTGCCACCTTCAAGACCCATCTCAAGACTCTGCTCTTCGACCATGCTTTCGATCTCCCTGCTTCCCCCCCTGCCCTTCACCTTCCCCAACCCCGACTCCCAGCTCGAATCTGTAACTCTGTCTGTCCAGGGCCTTGGGTGTCCTCCCGACGTGAAAGGCGCTTTACAAATGTAATTTTGTTTTTGTTCTACTCAGCAACCCGCATTCATGTCACTGTGAGACAGCCAGCTAGCAGTGTCAACATGTTCATTCTTCCAAGCTAATGCTGAGTATGTGAGGGTGTGTATGTCTCTCTCTCTCTCTCTGGGGTCTTAAGATTTGCAACTTTGATTCACAGAAGGCCAAGTTACCTGTTTCTGTGCTGTACATTCTTTGTAAATCTTTGAGGAAGCTAGACATTTATATGAGGGGAAGGAAATAGAAGGGTATGAGAGGAGTAAAGAATGGGTGGAGATTCAAATGGAGTATAAATAATGGCATGGAATGATTTGGCGATGTTGCCTGTGCTGTACATTCTTTATAGAAGAATGGAAATATTAAAACCTGCATCTGACTCGCTGTACATTGGGCCAACCTACAGGAACTCCACTACGACTTGATCTCCTTCTGGGCCTTCAGGGGATAGTTCCTGTGGACTTGTGTGACGCACATCCAATCACTAGCAGGAATTGATGTTTACAATCCTTTGCAAATTCAGGGTGCAAATACCACATTTTTTACTCCAACCTTTCCCTCCTCCCCCTCTCTCTGTAAATTTCTCTTTGTCTGATCTCAATCTTGCTCTCTCTAAGTATAGAGTGTGTGGTCTTATCTCTCTCTGTGTCTCTTGTGGTGCATTTATTCTACAGTTGTGGTGCAGCAAACATGCTGGTAGAAATGGGTTTGAGCCAGCATGAATGTGTGTGTGATCATCTTCTCTCCTCCCCCTTGTTCAGTGTCCGACCCAACTACGATAAACCGCAACAAGATGTTATCCTACATGAAGAACACTATATAAATGCAAGATGTTATTTTTCTCAATGCTTTTCTTGTCCAGGTCTTTATATAGCATCTTTAATATTGAGAGGATGTCTCAAAGTGCTTCACCGGATTTACTGTAAAATACTACAACAACAACAAATTGTATTTGTATAGCATCGTTCTCGTTAGGAGGACGACTCAAGGTTTCTGGACAGTGAAGGATCCGCACTTGAGCTGGTGTTTGGGATCAGAGGGGTGGAGGGCGGGGAGGGTAGAGGTATTAAATAATAATAATTCTTGCATTTGATATAGTGCTTTTCATGTTTTCTAGACATCTCAAAGCGCTTCACAGAATACCCTGTAAAGTGAATTGACTGGATATTTGTGGATGAAACGCAGCAGCCAATTGCACACAGCAGTGTCCCACAAACAGTTGTGGATTGAAGTGACCAATTATTTTTTTTTCTTGAGGGATTATTATCAGGCATGTGGAGTAAGGAAACTTGCCCAAGATTTCGCCCTGCCAGGAATCGAACCCAGGTCTCCTGATTGGGAGATGCGTGCTCTAACCACTGAGCTCCAGGACTCCTTTAAGGGGTAGGAGGGTGACCGAAGGCACTGTCGAAGAAGAGGGTGTTAAGACGGGTCTTGAAGGAGGCAAGGGAGGGGCGAGGCAAAGGGACTGTGGGATGGAGTTTCAGAGGATGCAATCCCGCCCGCCAATGGAGGGTCGGGCAAGGCGGGGGACGTGAAGCAGGCCGGAGCCCGCTGAGCGGAAGGAGCAGACTGGTTGCTAGGGGGTTAGGATGTCACAGAGGTAGGGAGGTGCAAGCCTATGGAGGTCTTTGAAGGTGAGGACCAGGATCTTGAACTATATCCTGTGAGTGATGGGGAGCCAGTGGAGCTGGGCGAAGATGTGGGTGATAGGGTCACAGAGCCTGGTGTGGAAGAGGACACGGGCTGGAGAGTTCAAGATGAATACTCTGAGTATGATGGACAATAAGGTCTTGTATGTGATTTGTGGCAACCATGTGTAAATGTTTGTACATTTTACAAGTTTTAGTAACTATGTATGAATATGTGCCGAGAGAGTTACAGATGCCATTCATTGTGTCATTAACAAGGAGCCAGGTCATCTTGTGTAATTTTTTCTGTACACATGTATTTTGCACATGGTTTACACAATCCACATCATATGTGTTTCCACAATTTGCACAGTCTGTATAATACACAGTCTAATACAACCCACGCAACACACATGTGTGCACATCATTTACACGACCCACATGATAGACTCTAGTCATGTGCTTTGGGAGCTGGGTCAATAATGCTCTGTAACCAGCAGCTAATTTTGGGATAAGCAGAGCAGTTCAAGCTGCCTTGCTTTCTGATCGTGATTTGCTTCACCCCCTCCCTAAGTAGGAAACTCTGGCACCTGCTCAACTTTTTTCCCATGGCCTGTCTGACATGAGGAGCTGGGGATGAGGTGCCCTCCCTGGTGCAGTGCAGTAATAGGCCAGTGCACTACGTCACTCCTCGGGTTACTAATAATTTGGATTTGAACGTTCATAAACCGTGAATGGTTCAATTACAACATGTAATTACTTTTTAATTATTTTCAAAACATTTGCAGCTTCCGCATTAGGGATTTCAATTGGAAAATTCACACAGGAAAAGATTTGCATTTTTCTCTCTCTCCCCCTCGCCCTTTCTGTGATGTAATGATTTGATCTGTGGATGTTGTTGAGAACATTTTTTTCTCCCCGGATTGGTATTCCAGGAATTCTTGGCAGTCGTCCAGTTTCCTCAAACCTGCACTCTATTGGAACTCTGAATGTTCTTTTTGCAGAGCACTGTGCGTGAATGTGTGTGTGTGTCTGTCCAGAAACAGAACTTTTCCCCCAGGAGATAGGGTGTGTAGGGTGATGTCGATGATAGATAGGCAAGCTTATTTGGCAGAATGACTTTCTCTTATTTGATGTTTCCTCAGACCCTTTAGCAAACTTGACATACTTTTCCCCAACAATTCCTACTCTTGAGACAACCTCCTTCCCACACACCCCTCCCTCACACACTCTTATTTCTACTTCTTGTTGGACCCTATTGTGGGACTGTGGGGTAGAGCCCGGCTGATACAGGGTGCTCCACTCTGAGATGGAGATTGTTGATCCAACTGAGGGATTTGAGTTTTTCTTGATTGAAGTTAGCTTCATGCTAAATTTAGCACATTTTACTGGACTACAACATGATTTTCATGCTAAACTCATGCTATCAGCCATCTATATATATATATGTGATGCCATCATATATATATATGATGCCATCATATATATATGTGATGCCATCATATATATATATATGATGCCATCATATCTATATATATATGATGCCATCCCATCAATGAGAAATTATCCATGAATATGAATGACTAGATTATTTTATTGTGGTATGTGCTTCATGTCTTGTATATTGTAAGTGTTGTCGGCGAGCAATTTCTGGTAGGGCAGCATGTTGAGCTAGTGAATTAATCTCTGGAAGGAAGTACAGGGTTTGCTGTTCTGCTGCTTTAAGCTTAGTTCTTTTAAATGCCTGGGGTGTCATTTCTATTGTCGTTCAGTTTGTCCCAGTGATCCTGCAAGGACTGCATTCAATCATCTTAAAAGAGGTTGGGCACAGGTTATGAAAACAAATTAGGAATGACTGAACTCTAGATAGCAGCAGAAGAAATGATTTGTGCCACTGTTCAAGTGATGGTTATTTATTATTTATTTCAATGCTGAGGGGGAAAGTAAATGAAGAACATTCCCAAGATATTCTCTAGCCAAGTTGGTAAATCGGTTATTTATATTTGAGAAAAAATGCTTGAAATGTCACAAAGATGGAAAACTGGGGGAAAGTGACTTTCTTCATAGTTCAGTTGCAATGGCAAGCTTTAGCGGATTAAACTCCAGCAATGTCCAAATGCACACTTTGCGATCCCCAAGCCTGACACTTTCTGGAGTTAGATAAGCAGGATGCAAACCTTCTGGGAAGAGAGTGCGCATTCCCTTCCAGACATAGCAAAATTTCAATACATATTTAGAACCCAGTACTATAGTTTGGTTTGGAGACTCTTAAGCACGGTGATGGGTTTTGGCATGTGTTGGTCATCCGGCTGACTAAAAATAATTCATAGCTCGATTTAGATTCAATTTGCTTTGTTAAGGAAGGGGAGGGATCGGCCTTTGTAATGTGACATGGATGTAAGCTGTGCATCTAATGATTGCACCTTGAAAACTCATAATGGAGCTGAAAAGGCAATATTGTGTTTGTAAAAGGATGTAACAATAGTGACAGAGATAGCAGCAGGTAACCATACCTGTGTTACTCTGACCTGTGGGAAATCTTGCCCCGAAACACCTGAAAGTAGATTGCAGCCAAACAAAATTTCAAAGGCTTATCCGGGTACTTGTGCCATCTCCTATTTACAAGTCCTCTTGCGAATTAATCTCGTGAATTAAGAGCCCTGTGATCTACACGGAATTAGGAAAATCATTCCTTGGGGCAAGAACCAGCAAATGCCTGACCACTGACCCCTCATGTTCAGGGCTAATGCTGCTATGCTGTGCGTTTCCAACTGTTTCTATTTCTTTATTTCCAATTCCCAGAGTTAGTTAAATATTACTTCTTTTTATCTCACAAATCTGCCACCCCTTTGTTGTGACTTATTCTGTCTTATTTTTGAAGGTACGACTATTTTAAACTTTGAATGTGCAAATTGTGACATTTCTTGGGAAAAGTGCCGACAATTTTGTTGAGCTGGAAATGACACCCAGACATTGGTGTGTTTGTCGCTGAGATCGCACTCTAAATCCAGGTCAATGTTTATTTTACATGTTTCTAAAGTTAAGATTTGTATTTTTCTTCCTTACAGTTTGGTGCCTCTCTCCTCCCAACCGCTGATGATGACTGTGCAGCGAGGGCAATCTCAGCAGTTCACATTCAAGCCCAAATATTACACTCAGAAGTATTACCCTGGAGGTCAGCCTGCAGCAGCCTCACTGCCTCACAGTTCATCGGGATCCACTTTCCAAGGTTAGTTTTACTGTTTGATGTCTTTCTGCCTTCAAGCATTGGATGTTTGGATAACAGAGAGGCATGTGTACACTGGCCAAAGTGCTGGATGGACCTTTTGACCTGAAGTGAAATGTGAAAGGCTTTTTTTTTTGCTTACTGTCTTCAATGCTTACTCACTGCAATATACAAACAAATGACTTTTTCCTGGCCATCAGCTTTTGATAATTGGTTGATAGATGTGCTGTAATGGTTAATCCTTCAGTCTGGATATGATCACACATCAACAAGAAAAAACAGTGCTGGACGTTAACCTACTTCTAGGATTGTTAGCGGAAACATTTGGGGAGAGGTTAGAAGGAATGTCTTCACTCAGATGGTTGTTAGGCTTTGGAATTCATTCCCACAAGTGACTATTGAAGCTGGATCAATAGAATCATTCAAAAGGGAACTGGGTAGTTTTCACAAGGAGCGAGTTATGAAAAGTTGTAAATTTTACCCCTTATGTTTCTCCCACCCCGCACCGCCCACCCCACACCCTCTCAAAAAAACTACACATGAATTTGACAGTACGTCTGTGGATGTGTAGGAGTAGTTTTAAGCCTGTAATTTCAGAGATCAAAAGGTGGCTTTAACCACTGGAGCTTTCCTCTCATGCTTTACAATGCAATTTTAACCCTCCTCAATGATTACCATCACCCATTCCCGGCTAACCATTGTCCAATGGTAGGCTTTAATCTATTTTACACACTCTTAAGAGATTGACAGCAGGGTTCTTTCTTATCAAGGGCTGACCACTAGCTCACAACTGACAGCCCCGAGGAGTGAAAGTCTCTCATAATGAGAGGTTTGTGGTGTTTTTCTCTGATGAGGTTTACCCATTTACTTTAGAGTAATGGATACGTTGACAGGGAATTACAAAGTAATGGATAGGTTGACAGAGACTGAAAAGGGTAAATCTTAAACACAGCATCTAAACGTTGAAGTTTATTTTTATTATTTCCGCCTGTTCAGGTTAAAGATTCTATGGTACTGTTTGGAAAGAGAAGGGAGTTTCTCCCAGAGTCCTGGCAAACAACTCTGCAAATAAAATTGGTTTGTGGGATATTGCTGTAAGCAATTTGGCTGCTGTGTTCGCTTACAAAGTCACTATACTTTACAGTAAATTCTGTGAAGCTCTTTATGACATTTCAACAACATGATTGGTTGTTTTATCAAATGCAATAATAATAATAATAATCATTATTTTATTATTACCAAGATATTGGTATATAAAATGCAAAGATTTTGAATAGAATTCTTTTATGAGGACTCCTTCCAACACCCATATATAGGATACATAGATACATAGGAAGGAAAAAAGATTCTTAAGAAATCTGTTTAGATTTGATGGATGCTATTGGTACAAACAGTTTGGCATGGGAGTCTGCTCCAGATGTCCGCCACTCTCTTCCTCGTGTCCAGCTGGAAGTGTTTATGTTCCAGGCTGAAGGGGTAACTATAGTTCTAGATTACGTGTTGGCTCTGAAGACATTGTCACCGGTCGACTCCATGCAAGGGCTTGTAGACCTCAATGAGATTGGCCCCAGTCTCATTGCTCCAATATCACATCACTTCTGAGCAATCTGTTCCACACCACTTAATTGGCTCTCAGAGTCCTGATATTGAGGAATCTGGCTCGAACTTGACGTGTTTTAGACCCCATTGTTTCTTATAGTGTATACAGTTTAATTTAGTTTAGAAAGCAGAGCTTTTGGACTTGCCTGTGCTTCAGAATCTTGATACTGGAGATTGCATATTACAGTTTATTTATGTAAGCAGGTGTGAGTTTATTGGTTATTGAATCAGCAGAAGGGGCACTGCAAAGCTACCTTTTGTGTACATCATACTGTGGTGTCTACATAAACAAATGCCTGGCCAGTCACAGAATACCAGAGCACTGATCCCTCTTACTCCCACTGTGTAGAGTTACTAATCCAAGTATAACAATCCTGGTATTGTGTGTTTTGCCAGGTTGCAGCTGTAGTGTAATGTTAGATAGATACTGACCGCTGTGGAGTAAAGCACGCCAGTACTTTGTTGAACATGTGGTATTTCGGTGTAAAAGTTTTTGGAAGTGTTTATTAAGGGATCACTGAAGTGAAAGCACTTCTGCTTGTGCTGTTTGTGTGGCTGCAAGGCTCACCACATGGCCAGGTTATAACATAAAACCATAAAACAAGAAGCAAGGAAACTTCTGAGGTAGGAGAGATCAGCTGACTCGGCATAGCATGCGGATCTAGCCTGGGATATATTTTGCTCTGAATGGCTCCCACTTTCACTCTGGGCATTGACTCTATCAACTGAGAGAGGTGATGATTGATACTATGAATGTGAAAGGCGCTCTATAAATGTAATTTTGTTGTTGTTGTTGTACAAGGGGGTGAGGTGAGAGGGGAATTAGTAGCAATCCTACCTCTGATCCATATCCAGTGACCCTGATACAGATACTTGTGTATATACTTCAGATGAAAAGGTTTGAATTTCATCAGAATGTGCTTTGTGGATGTCCTGCCATAAATAGTGTCCATTGAACCTAATATAATACTACAGATGCTGGAAATCTGAAACAAAAACAGAAGTCACTGTAAACACTCAGCAGATCAGGCAGCATCTATGGAGAAAGGAAAGTGAGTCAATGTTTCAGGTCCACGACCCTGACAAAGGTATTATTTGAAATGAGAAGGGAGTGCTCTAACCAGTAATCGTCCAGATAAAATTGGTCATTCACTTCATGACTGTTTGTGGGTCATTGCTTTGTGCAAATTGGCTGCTACATTCGTCCACAAAACAGTCACTCCATTTTATAATACGTGAAGCGCATTGGATTGTCCTCCTGATGTGAAAGGCGTTGCACCAAATATAAGGATTATTATTATTATTTTGCAAATAGGCTAACAGCAGCATGACTTTTTTTGATGGAGTCTTCCGCAGAGAAACCCTTGAGGAACATAATTATTTAATGGTCATAATACACTAGAAAATATTGTATAAAACAATGCTGCTGTATTTCAGTTGGAGAACCATAGAATCATAAAAATTACGATCATTGAATCGTAAAAAATTTTTTGCACAGGCGGTCATTAGCCCCATTGAATCTGAATTGATACCCCTCAGCAAATCTTCTGGAGCTAACTCCAAATGATCCTAATTGCCTACTTCTTTCTGTATGCTTTTAAATAATAATCCTTATATTTTCATGTAGCACTTGTCACATTCAGGAGATTTACTGTCGAGTGTAGTGACTATATTTTTCAAGCAAACCGGGCAACTAATTTATGCACAGCAGTGTCTCCCAGACGACCATGAAGTGAATGACCAATTTTATCTGGGGGATTCAAAACGTATCTCTCACCGCGCTTTCAGTCACCTTTCCCTAACCCACCTCAGCTGCCACCCCAGCTTGGGTGCCAGACAATATTGAGTATGCTTTGAAATGTCCTGCTTATGTGAAAAATGTTATATAAAGGTAAATTTTATTGTTTTCTAGATTTTATTAAAGCACCTGCCTACAAATACACTTTAAAATCAAATCCCGTGAAGTGCTTTGAGAAATTTGGATGTAAGGATGAGGACTGCACTCGCACAGAAATCTAGCCAGCTTCCTGTGCTGAATTTTGGGACATCAGGTTGTCGCCAAGGTCACTTCCTATGCACTGTGCATGTGTAAGGAGCTGGAAGAGATGTCCGTGGTGACCTGATGTCCCAGAAGTCATCCATTTGTTATCATATGGGAAGCTGTCCAGCTTCTCGACGGCTCTCAGCTAGCTCGTTGTCAGCTAGCTTGTGTTATATCAGATGTATTTCGTTTATTATAATGTATTTAGTTTATATATAAAAAAATCCAAATATACAATTCCACTCTTGCCATGAAAAGTAGTTGGCAGTGCTAATGCTCTTTATTATTTCTTTAGAAGCACACAACCAATTCATGTTAACTGACGCTTAAAAGTAACGCACAAAATTCTCCTGGCTCTATTACCTTCCCCCCAACAAATAACAAGCATTTTCTGCTGTGAAGGCAGTGTCTCTTTAATGTATGGCAAACAGTTTTGAATCTAATCTCCTGGTATGCCAGGGTGTGGCCTATGTCCCACAGCCCTCCCTCAGTGACCAGAGTGTTGAAAAGAGTTGTACTGCTCAGCCTCTGTGTGCTCATTGTATATTGAATTTCTGTTACATCACTGGGATTACTGACACTGCATTATGCCAATGTGGGAAAGCAGATGTGGAATGTGTAGGCGGATTGGCAAGTGACAACTTTCTCATATTTCCCGATGTTTCCAGATAGCCTGAAAGTTGTCCTTTACATTAGCTGGAAGGCCCGTGATGTCACCCACTACAAATGACTCAGAAATGACTGTGTCCTTGGGGACAAGCCATTGCTGTACGCAGATCAAAGTGCATTCTCTCTGTGATAAATGCACTGCAACACATGTGCTGCTACCCCTTATTCAGAGTGTAATTGCTGTGGAGGATTACATTTGAAATATATCATCTTCAAAGGCTGGATTTTGAAAAAATGCTTTGCTCAGGCAGAACTTGCTGCATGAGATATGTTAGTAATTACCACATCTACATTTCAAATAATCACTCAAACACTTTCCTGGAAGGATATAGGCATTCATGTTATTCCACAACATTCAATGTTCAATTTCCAGTTTATACTTCAACATCATATTTCAATCCTTTCCTCAATAAATTCCATTCTAAGCCAAGTCTCTTGCTATTTTTCTCTCTGTCTCCTCTTCCTCTTCTATATGTGCTGACTCTTATTGTGGGGAGCACTTCCATTGGCATTCGGTAGCCCTCGGGTATTTACAATACAATTTACATTTCTATTAGCTCTGTTCACATCGGGAGGATGTCTCAAAGCGCTGTGCTCAAGTGGCCTTATTTTTTCCATGTGTGAATTGAGACAGTGTCCCAATTACAGCCAAGGCGGATTCTGTCCTCAGCTGCTAGCCAGTCACACACATGCA